CATCAGCTTCAGACATGAATCTGGTTGATCCAACTAAATTTTGAAGCATTGTTGGTGCCCTCCAATATCTGACCTTCACTCGCCCTGACATTATATACTCCGTAAATTATGTATGTCAGTTCTTCAATGCTCCAACACAAATTCATTTGAAGGCAGTGAAACGAATACTTAGGTATTTAAAGGGAACTTCACATTTTGGATTATCCTACCTTGCTCAAAGCCCTCTATCTCTATACGGGTTTACTGATGCAGATTGGGCTGGTTGCTCAGTTACAAGGAGAAGTACTACTGGTTTTTGCATTTTCTTAGGTGCAAATTGCATATCGTGGTGTTCAAAGAAGCAACCTACAGTTGCTCGTTCCAGTTCTAAAGCCGAATATCGATCCATGGCTTCCACGACTGCGGAAATAACATAGTTGACCTTTCTCCTTCGAGATATTGGTATCCTCTTCCGCAGCCTCCTCTACTATTTTGTGACAATATCAGCGCTCTTTATATGTCGGTAAATCCAAATTTCCATGCTCGATCTAAGCATATTGAACTTGATTATCATTTTGTTCGGGAAAAGGTGGCCATGGGTACTCTTGTCACTCGATACATCCCTTCTTCGAACCAACCCGCGGATATCTTCACTAAACCTCTTTCCAAGAAAGCATTTATCTTCTTTCGGGACAAGCTGGGAGTCCACGCGCGTTACCCCTCCAACTTGAAGGGGCGTGTTAAGGATAGTAATCCCACAAATTGACGCAATATAAGGAGTTATTTTATGGAATAAAATCATTATGCAAATGATATTGCTGATATGTTGTATCTTCCCTTCCATTCTTTCCTTAAAATCTGTTGTATTCATTGTATATATATATATTCTACCTCGAAGAATGACATATCATCACCTTCTCTCCTTATTCAAAATCTTCAATTACATCATTGGTTATTTTCAAATCATACAATTCTTAATTAAAAAGTGTTATAGCAATCATCTGATAATTTTTTCAGGTATTCCAAAATGGTTTTTCGAAATTATATTTGAGACAATGGAATATCAAACGACACGCTAAGTGAACTGCAGAATGATAGCAACTAAAACAACAACGAAGTGAACAAATAGAAGATTGAATGTAGGTACGTACCTCTGCGGATTCATCATGCAAAAGGGAATTTAGTGCTTGTTCGAACATCGAGTAAAGCATGCACGGTTTCTATCATCATTCAATCGGCACGAGAAAATTAGCATATCTGGAAAATAATGAGGTGGTCATATTAATATACCATAGATCGTATAATGAGGTGGGGCCCGCCCAGTTCATTGTTACTGATGTTTTGTAAAGATCAACTAGGCCGATCATTGAAGCACACTCATTTCAAATAATAAAATTATTAAAGGACCACTAAATTTCATGTAAAAACAACTTCTCAGCTAAATTTGGAAGATTAATATTCCCAATTAAAGTCCCACTGGAACTAATGGGATTGACTAAATTCACCAAGCGCAGATTCTGTTGCAGTTAACAACATTGCTCATGCAAAATTCCGGGATCTGAAATCAGGTACAAATGCGAAATAAATTGTCTTAAACATCCCTATTGCATTAAGAAAAAAAAAATAGATCTTGCAAATGAAAAGTAATTTATGGAGTATAAATGAAGCAGTGATTTTTACCTACGACGAATTAATTAACGAAATGTAAGCACTAAGTAGCACACTGCAAATTAAAGACTATAGCCTAATCATTCCATTTGCATTTGCAACAGAAAACTATAAACCATAGATAAGTAACATTGAATAAAGGAAAAAAAAATTATATTTTCTGTAACCCTGTCGTAGTATCTAGTATTTCTACATTGCAATTAAAAATTACATTTTCATACGTATGTATTGTTGGCCGAAAACCTACACGCAAGTGCACGTGTCGTACAAGTAATATAGTGGACTAAAAGTCCGGATATCGAACCCACAGGGAATATTTAATTACCTAATCCTAGACGCTAAATTCTACGAATTATTATCAAGCCCACCCTACACAGTCGACTTTAGAGAGAATTAACCTAATTAAAATAAATTAAAAAGCAAATTAAAACGACAAAGCAAGAAAGCAAATTAAACACGAAGATTTATCAGAGTAAACGAGCCTAGGATTTTATTCTTCCCCCTATGTGATTATTATACCCCCAATTCCTTCAGTTATGCAAGAAATTATCACGGAATATTAACCTGAGATGCTAAAATAATCATAACCCGCTTCCGCGTGTATTACGATTCTATTACTCTAGATTCAATTACTATATTCCTATGCAATTAATTCTAGAACACAGCATTAAGCACAAATCCCAATAATGGCTACCTAAGAGATTAACTATATTCCTATGTTAATACCACAAAGGCTCTTCTACCACAGTTCTAATTATTAACCCGATCTTCCGATTCATGCGATTAACAATAACATAAAAGCACATAAGGTGATCAAGTTCATGCACTTAATAAAACAAGTAGAAGAAATAATCCGGAATTATAACTTGCATAAAATCATAGAAAAGGGTTCATAAATCCCACATACGGTTCCAAATAAAATCCTAGAAATAAGAAAATTAGCTACTCATGATTAAAGGAAAAACGCAAATAAAATAATTCATAAACGATAAATCTATGCTTAGAGTCTTCGAATTCTTCGTCTTCGTTATTACTTTGTTGCTCTTGAAATTGCGTAAGATATCCATCCTCAATTGTGTGCTTGTCTTGGTCTTATATAGGGTGGAAAATACGGAGAAGAAGGTAGTCTCCTTGTGCAATTAGGATTCCTATACTGCGCCTTTTCGTCATCTCGGACGGCCGTCCCGAATTTTGTACTAAAACTCGGACGGCCGTCCCAAAACCAGTGGTGGCTTCTGCTTCTCAGACGGCCTCCCAGTTTTAAGTGTAAATCAGGGACGGCCGTCCCATGCTAATTGCTTCATATTTTTGATTTTATGACTGGCCTCGTGGACTATGTTTTCTCGTTTTCTTGAATTTTTTTATTATATTATTTTTTGTTTTTTTACTTTTTATTCTTTTTATTTTTTTGATAAATTATGACCTAAATGGCTTACAATATTTTTTCACGACACTTGTGAGGCAAGCGTTTGTCACACTGTATGGCCACCGCTAAAGGATCTTGTGCCACCAGATGTTGGGCTCGCACACCATAATCTAGTTCGATTTTATTTTTTATTTTGAATATTTTGTTCATACTAGGGATGATAATTATGTCATTGTTTTTTGGGCTAATTATTTGTTTACTATAGTGTGCGGCACTTAATCACTAATCAATGCCCATCATTAATCAATGCCCATCGTGTTGGAGATTGCTATAGAATACTTTATTGTTTGGATTCTTGGGTGATTAAAATGAATAGTGTTACCCCTATTTATATAACTCTACCTTCTGAAGAATCATTGGTGATCATCTTGATCTAACGGCTAAGAGCATCTCCTACGATTTCCTACCAAATATATACAATGAGGATTCTACAAGATCTTCTAGAATCCTTTAAGTGTTATTTTGGTTTCTTGGAATTGAGAAGATTGATCGTATCATCGGGGCGGAGCTGGTATTTGGTACATAATATCTGGATCCGAGATGGATCCCCAGCGTGGGTTCAGATCCGGTGTTTAATCGATTGTGGATCCCGCATAAGGAGGTAAGATTCACTACACCATAAAACGTCATTGATAGCGCTCGAAAAACGCTATAATAGGCTATGGTAGCGTTTTTAGAAACGCTATGTCTGCCCGAGCTATAATAGACCCCGACTCTTTCATCGCGTTTTTGAAACGCTATTGTATAAAATCAATTCATAGCGTTTATCTTTTGCTATTGTCCATTTTTCTAAAGCGTTTGTTTGTTGCTATCGTTTACCTAATGATGGCATTTTTAAAACACTATTGTTTGGGCGTTATAATTTTACCAGTTACAATAATTTAGAAACGCTATATCAGGCTCATTTGCACAGTTTGTTTGTTGATTTAGAATATTAGTTGATTTATTTTATTTTGTGCTTACACTTTTGTTTCTTCTCACAAATTCAATTAAAAATATTGTAGTAATTTATTCCACCAACCAGATAAACACAATATCAAGAATACAATGATGATTTCTATATACTCAAATGATACATAGTTCAATAAGAACGATCCATAAGATTCTACCACGATAAAAAAAAAAAAAAAAAAAAAAAAAAAAAAAAGAAAAACCTGCACATCTTTTGCTGACTAATCCTATACTATACACCAAGTCACAAGAGGTTTAAACCTGAATGATTTATATATATATATATATATATATATATATATATATATATATATATATATATATATATATATATATATATATATATATATATATATATATATATATATATATATATATATATATATATATATATATATATATATATATATATATATATATATATATATATATATATATATATATATATATATATATATATATATATATATATATATATATATATAAATATATATATGTATATATATATATATATACATATATATATATATATATATATATATATATATATATATATATATATATATCTATGTTAAAAAAAAATGGAATTTGGCTTCCCTTTCAGTCGCTTCACTTCTTCAGTTGAGAGTTGCATACTTCGTTTTTTGTATCCATATTTTCTGTCAAGAAAAAACAATAAAACTCAGTTCCAAACATTGCAACAAAATGTCAATAAAAAAATAGTCCAAGTTTTTATTCTTTTCTATTATGCAATCTAAGAGTTCTAATTCTTTAATTTTTAAATACTTGGAAACCCAACAATGTCAATATTTCTACATCCCTTGAGGTATCAACAGTGCATTCAAAAAACTCACTAACAACAAAAAAAACCACTCGTAGTTTTGAGCTATTCATAATTGAAGAGACAGCTCTAATGCATAATTTAAACCTAGAATCAGAGACACATAGAATCATCAGAGATAGAAGAAATATTACTAGGAGCATCTGATGAACAATTTTATTCTCCTGCGATGACTCCACGCCATTCAAAATAATTTCTCCATATTTATTTAGCAGCCTAAACCAGTGCATAAAAATAAAACAAGTTAGAGGAAGACATGTTTTTTATTTATCGACAGAAAAATAATTATGTTATTCAATAAAAGTAAATAACTGCAGGTTGACATCACAACTCAATAAGAATAAATATCAAAACATGCATAACACATACGAAGAAGCATAACAAGTTGTTGTCGGAAAATTTATAAAGAAATGAAAGTTAGGGAACTTCCCTACCACGTCATATTATCACGATCCATGTCATTTTTCCATAAGAACCACAATAACAAAAATCTAATGTACAATGCTAAAAAACTAACACTAGAAAAATTGACCACTTGTAGTGGCTGTCATTAATTGACGCGTGGAGAGATTACTATGTGGTGTTCCCAAATATTTTAAGAAAATATAGCAACAATATGATAAAATCACAACCTGGGCATCAAGAACATGGGAAAAAAACAAAAAAAAAATCAAGGATAACAATCAGAAGATAAACAATTATATATGTTAATCTTAACTAGAATGAACTAGAATGCACAATGAAAATTATACATTGTTCAGATAGTAGCTAGTACGATTATTGGCTCTTATGCCATTGTAATTGAAGAATACTTTCAAGATTTTTGGCTAACATGCATATTTTCAGCATTGTTTTTATCATGTGGATTTGAGAACTATAAAATACCAAACCTGTTATTGTCCTAACAGAACATCAACAAAATCGCAAAAATTGCTCATATTAGAACAATTGGATGGTCCTAGTAGCAACTAAGGAGGCCCTAGAAAATTGCTTAATAATTAATCAATTTAGTAGGACATATTTTAATTATATTGATTAATATTAATAGATGCATTTACAATGGGATAAATTGTTTAAAAATGGCAGACAGATAAGAGCACCCACCAACAAACATCAACTAGGTTAACCAATTGGATTACTAAAAATGAAGTTTTTCTTACTTGTTAGCATGATTAGAACCACCTCGACTTATATGACTTGTCGGGAAGATAGTCAACTGGAGGATATATTCATGACTGACTATCCTCGGATATTTTCATTTTCTTGATTGTATTCTGTGCAAGTGGCTCCTTAATTCCTAATCTTGAACTCTATTTAGAATAAAACTACAAGTAAAAGCAACCGTGCAAGTGGATCTGTAATTCATATAACATGTTTTGTGCTTGAGAGAAGATGCTCCGTAATTATGATGATCGATATATGCTCTTTTTCATAAATCAGAAAAATACCAAAATGATCGATATATGCTCTTTTTCATAAATCAGAAAAATACCAAAATGAACCGTTAGTGTCTAAGACATAGATAGGTAGGTGATGTCGCAAAACTTACATAATTACATATTTAATTGAAAAAAATTTGGAAATAAATGAAAGCAAGAAATTGAGTACCTGCCTAACAATAGTCAAGGCAGTGGTTCCGCTGTGAAAAGCATCAATTTGGCGATGATGGTGCAGCTCCCGGTCAACAGCAGCACATGTCTTCAAATACAACAAAAAGTTATACAAAATCGCACACACATATGGAACTACAGTGACATAGCCTTTTCAACTTTCAGACTAAAAACATAAAGGGAAAATACAATTAAGACTTTTCCCAAAAAAAAAAATTAGATCAATAGACCGTGTGTAACATAGGAATTATTGAACCATAAAACCAAACTCAATATCAAATTCATACAATTTTGCACCCGATGCGCTATGACCAATACCAACAACGTGAAAGAGGAATCCCCTAAAAAACATTAATAGAAAAAAAGAAAGAAAGATAACAATCATATTACAGTAAATAAAAAGATGAAACCTGAATTCAAGAGATGAATTAACACTCGATAAAGGGATACGGAGGACTTCCAATTGCCTCCACCAAATCTGGGCGAACAATTCAATCAAAAGCAAACCAGATTAGGGCTTTTGCATAAACGGAAGATAAATTGGGAACGAGAGTAAACATTGTGAGAAAAAACGAGCGTGAAATCTGAAGATATGGGTTAGAGAAGGGAGACAAACGATGCGAGAGAGAGAGATGGCGTTCGTTTGTGAGAAACTTCTTCGACCAGTAAGGTTTAGTAAGACGATATTTTTTATCCCCGAAATAATTACTAGTGAGTCATAGCGTTTCTTTTTTATTTAATTATTTTTTTCTATTGCATAAAAAGCAGTTATAGCATTTTCTTGGAAAACGCTATAACTATGTGCTATTAAAACCTAATTTTCTTGTAGTGATTGGAGAATCCAAGCAAATTTACGATCCAGTTGCAAATTGAAATTACCAAATAGTCCTTAGACAATAGCAAGATCGGTAAGTTATATCCCTAATCGAATTCATATTTGCGAAATTGGAAAATATATAAACAATTGTACTGCAGAACAAGCATAAATCCTAGCATCGCTGCCAACAATACGCGATCTTATTTCTCTATTTTATGCATACTAGGAAGATGCACTTGCGTTGCACGTGTCTAGTAAATGTTTTATAATTTTTTTTAGTTGCAATTGTACGTTTATCGAAGTAAAATAAAATTATATTTTTTTAATAAATATCCAAATTTACAATTACTACAAAAAAATGTATAATATTATAAATTCACCAGAGGATTTTGCTTTATAAGCTCCCAAAAAGAGGCTATTATGAAGTCAAAGCTTGCATATTGTATTCTTCACGTAATGAGACTGTGAATTTATGGTTCAATGCTTCATCCCTAAATCGCTCAAAAATTCTTGCCCCTGCTTCAAATATCATGCAAAATTTGGACTCCTCCTAGAAAATATTCACAACATGCTATGTTTGAAATAATTACAGTTTTTGTCCCTATACTTCCCACCTAAAACGATTTTGATCCTCAAAGTTTTGCCGCTCCGAATTTAGTCCTCAAACTTATCACTTTTGGACACTAATGGTTCGGCCGTTAACTTTTCCAATTAAGTTAGACAGAATTGTTACGTGCACCGCACGTGACTTCCATTTGGCAGTCAAAATCGAGCTGGAAGATGAGTTGGACGATATATATATATATATATATATATATATATATGGACAAAATACACTTCACCCCTATAATTTTTTCATTTTGGCGCTTTCCCTCCTAAAATTTGAGAAAAGAGATAACCCCTCGAAATATTGTTTTGGTTGCACTTTATCCCAAAGATAATTTTCGGTGGGCATATATGGTGCAATAAAATAACATTTTAAAGGGGCAATGTGTGAAAAAATAATATTTTTAAGGGTCAGCATGAAAAAGAAAAAACACTCAATTCCGATTAATAATCCATTTGAATTTTGCTATTGGGGCAATGTGCATCAAGTGTAACATGCAATTTGTTTGATCTACTTTCTTGAATTTTGAAGGGGTAAAGTGCGAAAATTAAAAATTTATAGGGAATGACATGCAATTTGTTTGATCTACTTTTGGTGTCAGAAATCACAGCGATGGAGACAAGAGAGGTACCATCTGCTCATTTTCTGATCAAGATCGAATCCTTCTCCTTGTTCGACAAGTATAAAATTAACAAATATAAAACAAGTGAATTTGTGGCTGGAGAATACAAGTGGTATACTCTCTCTCTCTCTAAAGCCAAATAAAGGAAGAAGTAATGGAGGATGTTTGAATTTGTTAATTTGTACACGAAGTTAATATTAAATTTTAATGGAAAGGATAGTGATTATATATCTGTAAACTTGGCTATGACGGACACAAGCTCTCTGCCTACAAATTGGGAAGTCAATGTTGTCTTCAACATCTTTCTCTTTAATCAGATTTCTGGCCATTACCTTTATTCGCCAGGTATATATTATTTTTTATGGGAAAAGCACAGTTTGCACCGTCATGTTTGCACCGATTTTGTATTTTGGTCCCTCGTGCACAAAAATACACATTTGATTCCTCATATTTAAAAAAAATAAACACTTTTAGTCATTTCCGTCAATTTTCCGTTAGTACTAACGGAATCAAGTGTGTGCCACTAAAAGTGTTAAGCTATTGAAACTTGATGGACCAAATGTGTTTTTTATGAACATGATGGACCAAATGTGAAATCGGTGCAAACAAGAGGGATGAAAATTGTAATTTCCCCTTATCTTTATCTTTCTTTTTGTTTCTTCTTTTTTTTATTTTTCGTGTTAATTAGTTTGTTTTAGTCCTATAGAGTAGTTTCTTTAAATTGTCAAGGACTACTTTTTTTTATTTATAATATTATTTAGCAGGAATAACAAGACGTTTCCAAACAATGAAATTTGAATGGGGCCTTTCAAAATTTATTTCGAAGGAAATTATGTCTGATCCATCAAACGGATACCTATTTAATGATACGTGTGTGTTTGGTGCTGAGGTTTTCGTTATCGAAAGACAAGCGGCCGTTGAATGCTTATCTTTGGATAATGTCGATACTCGTTACAAGCATGATTTGAAGATTTCTGATTTCTCCAAATTACAAGAAACATGGAATTCTGCATATTTTATTGCTGGAGGCCATAAATGGTAACTTTTATTAGTATTACTAATTAGATTTTAGGACAAATTCCACATCACCCCATAAAAAATTCTATTTTTTCACTTTACCCCCTAATTTTTTTTTAAAGTGAATGTCCCCCTACAAAATGTTATTCTTGTTGCATTTTGCCCCGATAGCAAAATTTCGATGGATTATTCATCGACATTTTAGTATTTTTGTTGCAGATTGCCCCTTTATATGTTATTTTTGTTGCAGCTACCCCTTTAAAACATTATTCTTTGCACCTTGCCCCTTTAAAATGTTATTTTTGTTGCATAATGCCCATAAAAAAATGGCTTATGGGGCAAAGTGCAACCAAAATAATACGGAAATGCTATTTGCGGTCACAAAATTGCTATTCGTGGTTTATAACAAAACCCCCCAAAACTTTTAAAAATATCAGAAAACCCCCCAAAACTGCAAATAGCCAAAAAAAAAAATCAAAAATTCGAAATCAAGCTTGAAGAAAGGTTGGGCTTCTATTTTTTAATGTAATGACAAATATGTATTTATATTGTAGAAACTAATTTAGTTACTAACACTAATATATTAATAATAAATATGCTAATAAGTCAGTGCAATTAGTTAAAATCATCATCTATATACACCAAATCCTATTTTCACCTATACATTTGGTAAGAAAAATAGGATTTGGTGGAAAAAATAGTAAAATGGTGGATTGGTGGGAGATGAAAATTCCTTCGTTAAACAATTTGGCGGAAAAATAGAATTTGGATATATGGTGATATGGGTGTTGACCACGATAGGAGGCTAAAGTCAAATCTCCATTGTTTTAGGTGTAATGGTGATATAGTAATTTTGGGCGGGAGGCTAGAAACATCTAAATTAGATGAAAAAATGGTGATATAGTGACCGATCGGAGATGCTCTTACACATTCAACAAGAAGTTGGAGATGATCTCCGACCGGGAACCACTTTTTTCACCAATCCCATTTATGGTGGTAAAAAAATGGGTTCACATCCCACCGGTAGCACACCAGTTTACTCTTTCACCATTTTTTGTAGAAAAATGGTTTTTTTGGTTTCCAATGTATTTCACCAAAATTTAGACCAAATATTAAAACAATAATATTTTACTATTTCACCACTTATTGGAAATGGGATTTGGTTTGGTCTCCGATGGCATTTCACCTTATATGCCCCAAAACTGTAAATCTAATGTTAATCGTAATTTTATTTCCTAAATATTAATTATAGATCCAATTATAAGTAATCAATTTTCTTAACTATATAATATTAAAATTATGTTATCAATTTTAAAAACTATCTAAACATGAAATAACATGAGCTCAAATTATTTTAAATATAATAAAATCATACATAAACAATAATCTCATAAATTATTGCATAAATAAAATATTACAACAAAAATTAATTTGAAATCATAAAAAAGAGTCTCATTCACCATTATTATCATCATCATCAACATCATAATCTTCAACATCATTGATTTGAGCACGTTTATCCCACAAGTGTGCTAACAATGTCCTTCTTAATTCATTGTATTTTCCTTGATTTATTACATTTCGATGTTCTCGATGTCGATCAAGAAAACCAACATATGCCGCATTATTAAAATCTCTCAAAAGCTCAACATGCAGGATAGAGGACGAACTTTCATAGTCAAAGTTTGTGGGAGATTGAGCATCATAAAAAATATAAGCTTTTCTATATCCACTTTGTTCTTCCTCAACTATCATATTGTGCATAATAATCAATGTTCTAAAAATCGGCCGAGGCGGCCGATTAATCGGTCTTTGAGGCGGATGCGGTCCAAAACCTTTTCAATTTTAGTGTAAATGTTTGCAAAATCGGTTTTTTGCCTGTGAGGCGGTTTTAGGCGGTCTGAGGCGGTCCGATGCAGTCTAAGACGGTCAAAACATTAAGGCGGGTCAAACTCAATGGCAAAAATCGGTTAAAAATCGGTTTTGTTTTTTCTTTGTATAATTCATAATAAAAGTTGGATTTTAATAAAAGAAAATATGAGTTTATGCCTTATTTTTTTATGTTAGTTGTTATTGTTAAAGAACTAATGATGTATGCCAGGAATGTTCAAGAACAAATGTAAATTCGATTTTTTTTATTTATATTTTATAAGGATATTTATGTATTATGAACTTATGATTATTAAACTGTTATTATGTTATTAGGATTTAGGATATATACATGATGGAGATATAACTATGTTCAAATATCTTTTTATATATGTTTGGAGTATTTCTAAATAATATTTACAAAATATATTATATTAAGTTTTAAAAATCGATTTATTTCCAATTTATCACTGATTAATCACCGCCGCACCGATTAATCGTAACTCGGTGCCTGACCGACTCGAACCCGATTACCGCTTTTTACAACCTTGATAATAATGCATGCAAACATGACTTCATGCAAGTCTTCTTTCTTCCAGAGTCGAGCCGCTCCTCTAATAATTGCAAATCGAGCTTGAAGAACTCCAAATGTCCGTTCCACATCTTTGCGATACGATTCATGTATTTGTACATAATATTTTTCTTCGGCAAATTTGGGTACACTAATGGCTTGTATTAAAGTTGACCATTTAGGAACAATACCATTACATATTTATATTATAAGAATTAA